CCCGACGACGACCTCAAGGACTTGCCCAATGGGCCGCCCGCGCTGCCCGACGCCCTCAAGGCAGTCGCCTCGCCCGACTTTAACAAGACCGTCACACCAACCTCGACGGTGAGGAGGGTCACCAAGTCGACACAGGAGATTGTCGGCAGTCTCGTCGCCGCCTCGTCCTCAACGAAGGACCGATCCGCCCTCTTCGACGACACTCCAACAGAGACTGCAAACGTCCCAGGCAACCTGCATTTTGCCACCGACGAAAACATACAAGATGCCTTGCGCCACACGGGCGCCGTCGCCTTGGTCAAACAGCTCGCAGGCGACCTCGCCCAGCGCGACGCCCAAATTACCGCCCTGCGAAGACGAGCCGAGGAGCGCGAGCGCATGCTGAGGAAAATGCTCCAAGAATGCGAAGTCTCCAACATGGACATTGAAAACAGGCTTCGGGAGCTCGACAGGACTAGGGACTATGGAAACAGCCTCACCAAGACAAGGACAAGGGGCAACAGCGCATCCGCTGGATTGCATCCTGACGATCCCATGGAGGATAGGCTTGCAAGGGCCATGGAAGACGAACTGGCCGAGCACCCAGATGCGCTCGGCATAGATATGGGCACTGCAGCAACGCCCCTGACGGATGTCATGTCGCTCAACTCGGTCGCGTCAGATGCCCAGCGCGATGGTCCAAAGTCAAACTGGAAGGGCTATCTCTGGGCAGGAACAAGTAGGAAGAGCAGTAGGGCGCCATCCGTCGCCAGCCATATTGACCGGGATATCGGTAGTTTACCAGCTGGACCACGATCGCGTGCAAACAGTAATGCAAAGCCGCCTCGCAAGCCTCTCGCAAACGATACCTTTGTACCTCCTTCCGCTGCCGGCGCAGCGCCCGCCCTACGCAGACTCAACAGCCAAGATCGTGCCGGAGATGCGTCGGCGCGTAGGTCCTCGTCGTCCTCGTTAGCGAGTTGGGCGTTGAAAATGGTGGCGGGCAATAGCTCCGCAAGCCCTAGTAAAACAAGCTCAGCAAGAGGGCGTAAAACCACGGCTTCTGATGCTGCAGACCGAGCGCCCTCTATGGACTCGACAAAAACCGTACAGTCTGCAAAGTCTTCCCTAGCAAGCACACAGAAACGAGGTCGTGCGTTGGGCCCAAATGGAACTATTAAGAGCATTACCGGAGATCAGCCCAAAGTCGTGTCCAGTAGCCTTGCTCCATCCCAGCCAACCCGTGGAATGAGCAATCTCGGCCCTGTGGAAATGGACCGCATTTTACCCGAAGATTCACGTCCGCCAACGCTTGTGCAGCAACATAACCGATTTATCGGGAGTAGCGAGTACTTGACTGATAGATTTGGCTTCATCTACGACCAGCGCCGAAAGAAGAGACAGAGCGAAGCTGCTGCTGCTCTGATCAAGCAAAAACGGAGCAGTAATGTCGAGTCACTTAACGACAGCAGAACTGCGCTCAACAGCCTTGCAAAAGCAGACGATGCCGATCATGTCGACGGTCCTCCAGTGGCAGGTGATCAGAACAGCACCGGTATACGCCCATCCAGTTCAGATTCAGACAATCAGCCCAGTCAGCCAGCGAGCAAGACCTGGGTTGATTACCTTAAACTGGCCACACACCCAACTGAGCTGCTTTCACATACCCCATCAGCAGCGCCGATCACTACGGTAGAGTCTGCTGAAGGCGAGACATCTTCTTTCAAGATTGGCCAGACTCAAATCACTCTGATGAAGCGAGGTTCTGTGCCGACTACCAGCGTCAACCCAGAGCCATCGCCATCTCGCATCGTTTCCGGCAATGCAGAAATTTCCGCCACTGCCACCTCACCTGGCCCATCCACGCCCATCAGCCCGTATCCGGGTCAGATGGATCCCGTACAGTCCCTGCTGGAGCAGATGAGTGAACTGCACGACAACCTCCAGAAAGAGAGAACCGTCAAATGGAACGACTTTTTGCGCAAAGTTCGTGCACAGAACAAACGTGAAGGCGAAGTTGCCAGCATAGGGGAGAATGGCAAGGCCAACGCAATGCCCGAGACATTTCTCTCAGACGGCGAACTGGTCGGCATCGCAGGTCTCGGCAACAAGGGCAAAGTGGGCCGTGCCAAATGGCAAGAGTTTCGCCGTCTTGTCCTCGGGGGCATTCCCGTCCACATGAGGGCTGCCATCTGGGCTGAAGGAAGCGGAGCATTGCATCTACGCACGCCCGGCTACTATGAGGATTTGGTGAACAATGGCGAGGATGATCCGGCTATCGCAACTCAAATCCAGATGGACATTACCCGCACATTGACTGACAACATCTTTTTCCGGACCGGCCCTGGCGTACAGAAGCTGCAGGAAGTATTACTTGCCTACTCGCGCCGCAATCCAGAAGTTGGCTATTGTCAAGGCATGAACCTCATTGCTGCGTGCCTGCTGCTCATTATGCCCACGCCTGAAGATGCGTTTTGGGTCCTCACCGCAATGATTGAGGAGATTCTGCCCCAGCACTACTATGACCAGCATCTGCTCACGTCTCGCGCTGACCAGTCTGTGCTTCGCCAATACGTTGCTGAAATCTTGCCCAGGCTATCTGCACATCTTGATGAGCTGGAGATCGAGCTTGAAGCCTTGACCTTCCAATGGTTCCTATCCGTCTTTACCGACTGCTTATCCGCCGAAGCGCTCTTCCGCGTTTGGGACGTTGTCCTCTGCATGCACGATGGATCCACGTTCCTCTTCCAAATCGCACTCGCGCTTCTCAAACTGAACGAAAAGGCCCTCTTACAATGCGATACTCCAGCCGGCGTCTACCACTACATCAACCACCAGATGACCAACCACGCCATCAGCATCGACGGCCTGATCCAAGCATCCGACGCCCTCGGCAAAGTCATTAAACGCAAAGACGTTGAAGAGCGCCGCGCAAAAGCCGTTGCCCACGAACAAGAACTCATGCGCCAAAGAGAAGAAGCTCGCCAGGAGCGCGCTCGTAAACGAGCCAGCAAAGCCTCTACAGATGCCGCTTCCTCGCCGCCGCCCGCAACGACCATCACCCAGCCAGAAGATGACGATACGAAGTCTATCTCGGCAAGTCTCGACGATGAATTGGCAATGCAAACGAGCCCCATGCGCACAGCGCTTTCCAGCGCAAGTAAACGCTCAGAAGAGGAGGAAGAAGCGGATTACCTGAATACGAACTTGGAGCTCAACGGTCGGTTGCCTACGACGCCTATGGCTGAAGAGTTTATGTGGCGTGCTTGAGGTAGAGTAATGGATAGTCAAAGGAATAAGCAAGTGAGAGAGAAGAACAAGAAGAACGCAAAGGAAGAGTATTTTTTTTCTTTTTTTCCGAGTCTGGGAATTCTTTTTATACATATACACATATACCCCCAACCCCCTTTCCTTCATCTTTTTTTTTGTTCAAACTTCGCTTCGAAACAACGCACACAACTACTCGGTATGAACCACTGTTCTCGGGTACGGCTTTTCTTTCCTTTCGTACTCTCTCTCTCTCTCTTTTTGTTTTTTTGGGATTCTTGATACCCCCCTTCCTCATCTCTCTCTCTCTTTTCTTTCCCCTTCTTCGTATTTTGAGAAAAAGTTATGGGACGAAGAATACAAGATTATTCCTTTTTTATCCTGGAGTTCGATAGTATGTGAGAATGTGTACATAAAGCGTGGTTTAGTCCAGGAATTGTGAAACATGGGTGTTTTGATGTAGCTGGTTAGGAAAAAAAGTCCTGGCGTACGTGTATAGAAGGAAAATATACAAGTATGTGGATCAAATCAAATCACGTGATCCGGTATCCTCTATAATTCCTTCACTTGAGACATAGAAGCTAGACTCCACGTGAACATACATAGTAAGCCAACGCTTACGTAATTTACAATTGAGCGCCTACTTTTGAGCTATATGCATAACACAACAACCTCATTTCCCCTCAGGTGTTGCAGCGGCCACCTAGCTTGACCCGAGCCAACTATTTTGTCTGTCATTTCATCAATCCATCCAATAGAGAATCTGACTAGTGAGCGCAGGAGGTCCGACCGCTGCCAAGAATCCAGTCGTCTTCATCCTCTTCAACCACCTCCGCTGCCTCATCATCCAAAAGGCTTACAGCGCGTGCTCTCAACCCACGCTTTTTGTTGCCCTTCTTAGTCACCCCGGTCTTGACGTGCCCATGCGGGCGGCGCTGTGAGTGAGGCGTGTTTCGCTTATTGAAAACCTCTTCAACTATCATCCTCCAAGAAGAAGTAGTTTCCGCTCAGCTTCTGCTCTTGGTCAAGCTGAGACTTGTCCTTGTTGATACGGGGACGGTACGAGTTGGGGTCGCGACGGAAGGTGACGTCCAGGTTCTTCAAGAAGGTGTTGCAGCCAGTGAGCAGGGATTCGGGCTTATTGGCACGGGCCTTGACGGCTGGTTGACCGTCAAAGACAATGACACGGTCGGCGAGGTACGTAGCCATGATGAAATCGTGCTCGACGACAAAGGCGGTCTTCTTGGCGTGCATGATGAAGCGCTTGATGACACGAGAGGCAATGATACGCTGTTCGGAGTCGAGGTACGCACTGGGCTCGTCGATGAGGTAGATGTCAGCGGGGATACCAAGGGCCAATACAATGGCAACACGCTGCAATTCACCACCAGAGAGGTTCTGCACCTCCTGGTCAATAAAGTCGTCCATCTTGAGAGGCTTGTAGACGTCGGTCTGGAACTGCGGGTTCAAGAAGGCGGCCTTGATCTTCTTGAAGAAGAGTTGTCGAACGGTACCCTGGAACTTGGGGGTGATGGTCTGAGGCTTCATACTAATGCTCATCTTGGGAATCTTGGTGTCCCCATCGGGCTGCAGAGCACCAGCAAGCATCTTACAGAAGGTCGTCTTTCCGGTACCGTTTTCACCCATCATGACAAGAATCTCGGAGTCGGTAAAGGCACCAGACTCAATGTTGAGCTCGAAGCCGCCCAAGGTCTTCTTCATGCTGGGGTATGAGTAACCACGGTTGTGGTCAGTCATGTACTCATCGCCGGCCTCGGCAATTCGAAACTGAAGAGACTCCTCACGGAAACGCAGGTTCTCAGTGGGGATGTTACCATCCAAGAAGATGTTGATACCTTCACGGACCGACGCAGGAAGGGTGACGACACCATAGACGGCAGGCTTTCCGTAAAGAACGCAAATGAAATCAGAGAGATAGTCAAGGACAGACAAGTCGTGCTCGACAACGATGACATAATCATCAGGGCGGAGCAGACTGCGAATTTTTCGACCGGCGGCAAGACGCTGCTTGACATCGAGGAAAGAGGACGGCTCGTCGAACATGTAGACGTCGGCTTGCTGGACGCACACCAGAGCAATGGCAAAACGCTGCAGCTCGCCACCAGACAGTTGACCGACGTCACGGTCGAAGATGTGTCGCAATTCCAGGTCATCGATCATCTCGTCGAGGTTTTCCATCTGGGAGCGGGCCTTGATGAGGTTGCCCACGGATCGGTCGGTGGCCTTGATAGCCTTAGGGATCTGGTCGACATACTGAGGCTTGACGACAGCCTTGAGGTTGTCCTCAAGCACCTTTGTGAAGTAGTCTATGATTCGTTAGCTAGACGCGTGCTGCATGGCAGTGGAGCTACTCACTCTGAAGCTCAGAACCACGGAAGTACTTGAGAATTTCCTCCCAGTCTGGCGGGTTGTCGTAGCGACCCAGGTTGGGCTTGAGCTTTCCGCTCAGAATCTTCAGCGCCGTACTCTTTCCGATACCGTTTGTACCGACCAAACCCAACACCTGGCCAGGACGGGGCATAGGCAGCCTGTGCAGCTTGAAACTGTTGGCCGAGTATCGGTGGGTGACTTGGGTCTCGAGGTTCGTGGGCAAGTTGATGATGTTGATGGCATCAAAGGGGCATTTCTTGGGGCAGATACCGCATCCAATACACAGTCGCTCGGAGATGAAGGCGATCTTGGACGATGAGTCTACTTCGATGCACAGTTTGCCGGTGCGCACCACGGGGCAGGACTTTTTGCATTCTTGTCGACATTTCTGGGCGGGGTTAGCAGAGTGGTAAGAGGGAAGGGGCGTGGGAGGGTGGCGCTTGCCTTGGGTTTGCACTGTCATGGCGCACATGGCTGGTTAGCAATGGCCAAATTTTGTGCGTGGAGGGGTAGTGGGGTACCTTGTCTGAGTTGACAATGGCAATTCTAGGACAAAGTCAGTTGAAGATGCGCAGAGGCCAAAAGAGTGGCATGGAACGTACCGGGTGAGCTTGTCAGACATGTTTGCGGTTGTTGGCGTGGATGTCGGATTACTGTGGGCGGCGGGCGCAAACTGCGTAGGCGGGGAATTTGATGGGCAAAGAACAAGGCGGCGCACACAGGACTCGACGAGATGAGACGGCTACCCAGACTGGCACGCGCTCAGAGGGTGCAGGCGTCGGGCGGACTAGAGGAATCCAGTAGGCTGGGCAGGAGAAGCGTGAAAGAGGCGTCTTAGGGTGTGGAGATGGGCCGCAGGGTAGTCTCCAGGCCTGACGTTGTTCGCATTCACACTGTGGAAGGTAAGCGTTTTGGGGTGGCCGCTGATTGGTGGCGGGTGCGGCTGTCACTAGCGCGCAGGTCGCTGGCTGCTGGATTGAAGCCCCGACCATAAGGAAACTCCACAACCCTCACCACCACCCATCCTGCACCCTTCCAAGACAACGCCCCCGCCCCCGCCTATATCGAGGGTGTCTTGAGCATGGACTGTGAGTACAGTCTCCTTTTGAGTCTTTGATCGCGTGCGTTTCTATCTCGGCCCTTCGCGACGTGCCTGGTCCTGGCCTCGCCCATGTCCATCCATCCATCACTATTCCACGCCCTTGCATCCCGCAACCCGCCTCGGACCCATAGCACGGCCTTGCACGACGTACAGAACGCTTTCGCCAGTCCTCTACCGCTTCCCATACGCTGCCAGCCCTTTTCCTGGCTTACACCGCTCCACTGCCCTTGATCCATCACGCGCTTATCCACCACTACCGCATTTCATCAACCTTCCATTGCTCGCCTCTTTTCCCTCGTTTCTGGTCGCTTTCTGTTTATTCGGAGTCGCGTAATTCTGCTCTATTCAACGCACTCGCTCCGAGGCGCCGGGGCCCACAGGAGCTTGAAATATCGTGCTGACCATCTTCTACAGCCGCGTCCATCATGATGCCCTCTTCGCCGGGCCATGTTGCTTCCCTGCCATACACAAACGGTCATTTGTCGCCTCTTGCCGCCCATGTAATGGCTGCCGACAGCTCCTCCAACTCCAGTGACAGCGATGCGTCCGACGCGGGAGAGCACGCCGCAGCCGCCCAGGCCTCCGATGTCGACGCGCCGGGAGAGGAATACGATGAGGACGACGAGGTAGCTGCTGCTTCAGACTCTTCCGAGGACGTGGATGCCGAGGGCGAGCCGGATGGTGATTACGACTCTGAGTCACCGCCGTCTGAGCAGGCAGAGAGCGACCGCGCTCGGAGCTCGTCCCAAGAGTCGACAAGGCCGACGAAGCGCAAGGCAAGCGTTGAAAAAGAAGATTATATTGAGCAGAACCCAGAGCTATATGGCCTGCGTCGCAGCGTACGTAACTTCAAGCTCCCTCCGTATGTAAGCTAACTTCGTCCCAGGGTCGCGCCCGTCCTAGTCGTCGCGTTGTAAGTAAGCCTCAGTCGATGTCAGAAACCGGTACTGATATGACTCAGGTCGATAGTAGTGATGAAGAAGAGGATGATGATGATTACGATTCAGACCAGCCACGCAAGCGACAGAGGACAGCCTCGCGCAAGAGTTTGTCTACCCATACCCCTCCTGTCCAGAGCAGGGTTAATATGTCCATCTAGCCTCAAACCAACCAACACCAGTCTATCGCTCTACTGGCTCTGATTCAGAGTCAGATGGCTATGTTGGAGCCCGTCGCAATATTCCGACCAAGAAGCAACGCCAACGTCAGCATGCTGTTGCTGCAGGTCGTGAGCCTCCCTCGCAAGCCGAGGTCCGATTTTCTGCACGTCGCACAGCCCAGGTGGCGAATTACAACGAAGAGGATGATGAGGATGAATTTGCAGAAGAGGAAGACGAGATGACCTCGGCCTACTGGGCGAACGCTGTGGAAGACAGTGGCCCCGTCATCGACAAGATCCTCGACCATCGGCCAAAAGACGGATTAGGTAATGGAAAACAACCAAGATGTGTCTCGGCACTCTTGCTAATGAAGTGCAGAGATTGATCCGTCCTTTGACAAGCACGACTTTGAATACTTGGTAAACACACTCGCTGGCCATCACTATTCACGATACTAATGTAGTACCAGATCAAATGGCAGGACAAGGCACACTACCATTCAACATGGGAAGAATACAAGACAGCATCTGCCTACAAAGGCATCCGCAAACTAGACAATTACTACAAGGGCCCCGTCCAGAACGATATGTATTATCACAGCCGCAAGAACGAAGATCCAGAGGAGTTTGAACAGCATATGGTTGCGCGTGAAGCTGAGCGTGAGAGTCAGCTTGATTTTCATATAGTCGAGCGTGTCATTGACACGCGGGATGGCGAGGATGAGACGGAGTACTTTGTCAAGTGTAAGCTTATCCGTGTCAATCCTCATCTTAACTCGCTAACAATATTGCAGGGAAAGGACTGACGTATGAGTTCTGCACATGGGAGCCGGCATCACTCGTCAGCCGTCTGTCGCAGACTGAGATCGACCGCTATCTCGACCGCTCAGCAAATCGACCTACCTCCGATCTTCGCGAGTCAAATCCCAATACCCGCAGGAAGTTTGTCAAGATGGATACACAGCCCGACTACATCAAGTTTGGGCAACTGAGGTCCTTCCAACTTCAGGGTGTCAACTTCCTTGCGCACAACTGGTGTCGAGGCACCAATGTCATCCTAGCCGATGAGATGGGTCTAGGAAAAACAGTGCAGACCGTCTCATTCATCAACTGGCTAAGGCATGACCGTAGACAGGATGGACCAATGATCTGCGTTGTGCCACTGTCTACTATGCCCGCATGGGCAGACACTTTCAACAACTGGACCCCCGACGTCAACTATGTCATCTACACTGGCAGAGAGGAGGCCCGCAACATCATCAAGGAGAAGGAGCTTCTCGTAGACAATAACCCAAAGAAGGTCAAGTTCAATGTCCTCTTGACCACGTACGAATACGTCCTTGCCGACTGGCAGTTCTTGCAGAGCATCAAGTGGCAATTCCTTGCTGTTGACGAGGCTCACCGATTGAAGAATCGTGAGTCACAGCTCTATGAACGGTTAACGGCATTCAACGCGCCCTGTCGACTGCTCATCACTGGTACCCCTATCCAAAACACGCTAGGTGAACTAGCAGCATTGATGGATTTCCTGATGCCAGGAAAGATCTCTGTCGACGAGCATGTTGATCTGTCTTCGGAAGACGCTAGCCAGAAGCTTGCCGAACTCAGCTCTGCCATTCAACCTTATATGATTCGTCGTACCAAGGAGAAGGTAGAGAATGATTTGCCTCCCAAGTCTGAGAAGATTCTCCGTGTTGAACTCTCCGACATTCAACTCGAATACTATAAGAACATCCTTACCCGTAACTATGAGGCTCTGAACGAGGGAGGCGTTGGCCACAAGCAGTCTCTGTTGAACATCGTTATGGAGCTGAAGAAGGCTAGCAACCACGCTCTGCTTTTCCCTAATGCTGAGAGCAAGCTTGTGAAGAACGGCTGTTCAAAGGAGGAAACGCTAAAAGCGCTCATTACCTCTAGTGGTAAGATGATGCTGCTCGATCGACTACTCGGCAAGTTGAAAGCCGATGGTCATCGCGTGCTTATCTTCAGTCAGATGGTCCACATGTTGGATATCTTGACCGACTACCTCAAGTTGCGCAACTACGCGTTCCAGAGACTGGACGGAACAGTCCCAGCGGCAGAGCGAAAGATTGCTATTGATCATTTCAATGCTCCCGGCAGCGAGGACTATTGCTTCTTGTTGTCTACTAGGGCTGGTGGTCTTGGCATCAACTTGATGACCGCTGACACTGTCGTCATTTTCGATTCCGACTGGAATCCTCAGGCCGACTTGCAAGCCATGGCTCGTGCTCATCGTATCGGGCAGCAGAAGCCTGTGAGCGTCTATCGTCTGGTCTCAAAGGACACCATTGAAGAGGAGATTTTGGAGCGCGCTCGAAACAAGCGCATGCTCGAGTTCATCACAATTCAGCGTGGTGTGACTGATCGTCAGCAAAAGGAGCTGAACGACAAGATGAGCCGTGCTGCTGCCGAGCCAAACTCTGCCGATGACATCAACAACATTCTCAAGCGCCGCGGACAAAAGATGTTTGAGCAGTCCGGCAACCAGAAGAAGCTTGAAGAGCTTGACATTGACTCTGTTTTGGAGAATGCCGAAGAGCACAAGACAGAGCAGGCCGCTG